TGGGGAAGCATTTGCTCCAATCAGATGACTTCAGTCACTGTGACAATTGTATGCAAACAGCTGGGCTGTGGAGATGAAGGCGACATTGCTGAAGACTTTACATATGGACAAGGTTCTGGCCACACATGGTTGGATCACGTTCAGTGCCTTGAGCATCACAACTCCCTTTGGCAGTGTCCGTCGAAGCCATGGAACCCCCTGTCATGTGCTAATCGGGGAGAAGAGACCCACATTAGGTGTACTGGTAATGATGATGTTTCTTGCCCACAAACACGTATGAAAGCATACATAGATGTACTTGTACATGTATGTACACACACCTGCATTATATGTTTGATTCACTGAAGTTCTATAATAGAAATATTCCCTTTTCAGTACAGACAGTTCTATATTCCCCGAAACGCCAGAAAAGATTCTTATTCTCTCATTCAAAGCATCCTGTGTGTATCTGTGTGGCTATTGGACATGCATTTCCCATCTCTGTTTCTATGAACACCTCTGTATGTACACACACGCATGAACGTATAAGGGGTGTGCATGTCAAAGATGGTGTGAGATCTGAATTCTATTTTTCAGGCCAAATCAAAGGACATCATTTTGGTCTATAAGCTGTCCATGTGGTTGGTTCTTAAGTAAAAATCTTTACATTCAAATCTCTTTGTAAGGGAATGCAGTTACCAGTCACGGGCTGAAGTACAATGCATCAGGTGTCCATAGAGCAGGGATCCTCCGCCAGGGATCTGGGGCACCCTGAGCTGCCACAAGAGCCTTGGAGGGTGCTGTGACATTTGAAGAGATAAGCACGTGCGGGAACGTAAGTGCAGGCATGGGCTTGTGCCTGACCAGCTGGTGCATCAGATGCTCTGTGTGGCCCCTCTCACGGAGGTTAGCATTGTAGTAAATAAATGAGCTTTTGATATAAGGTGCCACTCAATTCACCAACACTATAGAGGGTGTCTCGACTTAAATGAATGGTACCTTAACTGTAAAAAGAATGAAAACCACTGCCATGGAGCAACACAGCTGGAATTGAAATTCAGGGATGTTGCACACCAACTGTATGTTAAACACACTTAAGATTCATATTTATATAATGGTAATATCATAACTGAGAGTACTGCTAACTTCTGCTCTCCCTCATAATGTACACACTAACCAGCCCGTTCATGGCATGTATTTTTTTTTAACCTAGGAAGCAAAGAGAAAACAACTCCGACACAGTTTGCCGAGTGTCCAAACTCCACAAGCTGCACAGGTACCTCTGCCCTTTATTGAATCTCCTCCTTCTGCCCTCAGGCCTTACTCAACTCCCAAGTAAGGCAGTTTCTGCTTTTCCCAGACAAGGAGAAGCTGCGTGTTGTGGGAGGAAAGGACAGATGCTCAGGGAGAGTGGAGATTTGGCACCGCGGCTCCTGGGGAACAGTGTGTGATGACTCCTGGGACATGGCGGATGCTGCTGTTGTGTGCAAACAACTGGGCTGTGGAGCTGCTGAGTCTGCTCTGAGTGAGGCAGAATTTGGGAAGGGGACTGGCCCCATCTGGCTGGACAAGCTGAACTGCAAGGGGACAGAGTCATCTCTGTGGGACTGTTGTGCCGAGCCCTGGGGTAACAATGAGTGTCACCATAAGGAAGATGCTGCTGTGATCTGCACCAGTGAGTGACAGTGTCTTACATCCATGATGCAGGTTTGGAGGTGGGTGGGAAATGTGTTTCCTTGGCTAGATCCTCCTGACTGGCCACAGAATAGACCCCATGTCCTTGATGTAGCTGTCTTATGGGGAAAGACTTTGTGGGCTGTGGTTTTGAAGGCATCAGCCCCCATAGCGCCAGCCTCCATACATACATCGTCCACTGTGCTGGTGTGTTATTCATCTACCAGCCACAGGGCCCTATGTCCGTGCCATACAGCCCTGCCCTGCCAGGAGCTGCTGCACAAGAACACCGGTGCACCCCAGTTCTGACATGCGACTGCCCTCAAACTAACACACAGAGACTGGTGACCAACTGTCCAGCTTCTTATTCCAATCCAGTGCGTGGGGAGCAGCACATGAACCCTCCTCAGTAGACATGAAACACAATGACAGCTTTAATCAACATACGATATAACCCTGCCCCACGGGAGAGAGGCATGGGGCTCTTCTTGCTCACCAGCCTCTCCGCTGGACTCACCTTGTCCTTGACACAGCGTGCACTTGTGCACAGGCTGGTTGTTTATTGTGTGCCAGGAGACACAGCGTACAAGTGACGTGCAGGTGAGGTGTGCAGGCGGAGAGGCTACATCTACAGGACGTGCCCAGTGCTCCTGAGAGGGCTTTTTAAAAGAAGATCCTGCCCACCTGCTCCCTGTCTGCTGACAACAAATCCAGAAATGAGGCAGTGATACCCACTAGGCCCCACTTCCACTCTTTGTCACCAGTCTCCACCTCCGAGATTCCCACAAAGACTCTCAGAGTGTGCCTTCCTGCCATCTCCCCTTCCTGCAGACTTTCACTCTCCTTCTCTCTTTCCTTGCAGATAAGAGCGAGACTACTGCATCTCCAGAGAGAACAGGTAAGATGCCTTGCTATCACTGGGGGTTACATTTCACTGGTGCTGGGTTCCCAGGGTGATGACCTGTAATCTTCTTCCTGAGGGTATAAACAGGAGACAGCACAAGAACCAGATTTCATTTGATGAGATATGTCCCAACACCGCTGATCTACTTCATTGGATGAAACGCAGGTCACCTGTTGCCCTGCACAGGGCACGGGCCCAGTCCTACAGGACAAGGGCAACATGTTCCTTCCTGACAGAGATGTGCCTTAGAAATTCCCTGCGGCATGTATTTCTTAGTGGGGAAAACTAGGGTTTCCCACTTGCACACAAACTCCGGGTTTCATCTCTGTAAGTGGGTAAGCACGGCTTGCCTTGCTTAGAGACATGGCTCAGTGAGTCCCTGGACATGTGGGCACAGAACATGGGCTTTCTCCGCTTACGGTGACACACTCCAGGGATCTCCAAGGTGCATCTTTTTAAGTGGTGAAATCCAACTCTGGTGTGCTCCAGTGCCTGACACTGCCAATCGGCTGCTTGCTGGTCTCAGCTCTTGCACTTCAACGGAGCATCTCTGGGTGCCTGGAGAGTCCAAATGGGGACGCCCAGGAGGAGTACACCAAGCTTCAGGGCCCTGATGCTGTGCACCCCAGAAACAGGAACTACTGGAGTAAAGGAGATCAAGCCATTGAAGCCTCTGGAGTGCCTGCCCTGCCTGCCCCACACTGGGGAACTGCACACGCTTTCCCACCATCAACCTGAAAGATTTCTGCCACCAGGAATCTCTGCTCATTGACGTTGTGGCTACAACTTTGGGGCATTTGTGGTGCAGCAAGGGCTATGGACATATGTTGGCTTGACCTCTACATTGCTATAAACATTTTTATAGGGGCACAAGGACAACATCTGTTTCTACCCTGCAAGGATGAGCTCCAGCTCCTGGAGTGAGGGGTCCACCAAAACTGTTACCTGGGGTGGGAGCTGCAGTGGGTGCTGAGCAGGAGCCATTCCTGTCCAGTGGCTCCTAGCACAGCTGCCTCCATGACAAACTGCCTGAACTTGATGCCATGGGTGGTTAAATTAGAGACTGCATCTCTCTCCTATGTTGTCCTGTTTCTCACACCTCCTGCTTCTCCCAGAAGTCTCTGCCTGTTGCATGTTCCTTTTCTTCCAGAACCACCTCAGCGCCCATCTCTGACAGGTGGGAGAGACATGGTGCCCATAGTCATCTGCATTGTCCTGGGCCCTTCTCTGCCTGGTCCTGATCATGCTGGGGGGACAGGTGCGAAGCACCAGGGCACTGCCCAGAGGTGAGTCCTCATTCTTCTCACCATAGAAAAAAGGCTCTGCAACAGCAGAGGGAGGTTCAGGTGAGGGGAGGGCCACAGACAGAGCTGTGATGCAACCTAGGCCTGGAAGGCCAGAGGTGAGTCCTCATTCTTCTCACCATAGAAAAAAGGCTCTGCAACAGCAGAGGGAGGTTCAGGTGAGGGGAGGGCCACAGACAGAGCTGTGATGCAACCTAGGCCTGGAAGGTAACGGGAGGTACGGCTGAGGAGGGGAGGATGCTGGAAGAGCTGTGAGAGGGAGATCCAGCATACTTCTGAAATCAATCCTTCCATCGGTGACCAAGCAGTACAGTTGTGCAGGGCTCCCGGGAAATATGTAAACCAAGCTGAACTGGGGAAGCTCAGAAGAGTGGGCAAGGCAAAGCAAGATTTCACAGGAGATTAAAGAGATGGGAAATCATGGCAAAAAATATTATCTTGGGTTTGTATTTGGAAAACTGCTAGAAACTCCACTTGTGGAAGTGTTCATGAAGAGAGAGATCAGTGGGATGGATACTATGAGGAAAGGAAATATTAGGAAATCAGCTGGCAGGAAAAGAGAAAGGAGCAAAGAAAACAAGAGTTAGAAAAGGGAAGGTGGGGGAAAAATTCTTATATTTGGCAGAATGAGGGGTGGCAATTCTCCCTTATTGCAACCTCTAGTTTTTAACTTTCAGTAGAACCCAGTGTCAATGTTTGCATTTTGCTACTGAAACTCCTTGTCAATGTTTGCATTTTGCAAGTGGTTGCATGTGTGCATCTGGGTGTGCGGGTGGAAGTGTGAATATATTTACAGTTTTCTACTATGTGAAATTGGGGAACGGTTAGTCTTACGATGGTAGTAAATAGGAAAGATTGAGGCTGAGTGTATGACAAGATTTTGGAACAGGGGAGTAGCCCATGTAATGGTTTCCAGAGGGAAGTTTTTGAATAGGCTTGGTCAGTGCCACATTGGATACTTTTCTTTAAATTGGACAAGGCCATAGAAGTGTGCTGTAGGGCTCAGCTGAGCTCCAAAGGGAAAGGCTGGAGGACCCCTTAACATTTCCTGTCTTAAGATTTCCTGTTTCCATGACCCTGTGTGAAACCTGCCATTTGTTTTCAGTCTCTGGAAGATATTCAGGCCCCTTAACTGATGCTGTGTATGAAGAGATTGATTATAACCTGATGAGGGAGAAGCTTGAGACGTTTGGTCGCTCAGGTCTGTGTGCCCCATTGCCAACACACAGCAAGTATTTAAGGGTTTGGTTACACATTACACTTTAAGTTTCTCAAAGGTTGATCAGTGTTAGTGTAGTTAGAGTAGTAAACATTTGACTTAAAAACCATTTCTGCCTGTCCCCAAGAGAGATCGGGTCATGTTGGCAGGAGCATGAGGTAGAAGTTGGAGATTTTAATGATGGGGAGTGAAATGGCTGGTAGAGAGGCAGTGGATGGGAATGGTGGCTTGGGGCTGGATGGGGAAATGAAGTCAGCCAGGCAATGAAGCCTCTAAAACAAGCCATAAAAGGCTCTCCAGCCTGGACTAGCCTGTGCCCTGCAACCTGCCTGGCCACGTAATGTTCCCAGGTGCTGGACAAAGAGCTGGCTTGGTGCCAGTACCATGCCCTGCCTCTTCCCCTGCCCATGTTGCAGCCTGGGAGCAGACCTCTGTACAGGTCAGGAAAGGTCATTGCTAGGATCATCGTGTCAAAGGGCATCTGAATCCTTTTCCCACTGAAGCCACTGCTCTGCTCTCCTTTGTGGGCTCCCTCCTCCCCAGGTGGATACCAAACTGTCTCTCATCTTCCAGTCTCCTACTCAGAGGACTCTGTGAGGAAGCTGCAGTATTACACTGGGGACAGCGAGAATGGAAATGATCCTGGATCAGTGCAAGGTAACAGGGCAAAGAAGACCCCAGAGATGGAGCCCCAAAGCTAGGGGGAGAATACGTTTCCTGGGGATGTCCTCTAGGTCATGGTCCAGTACAAATGTGAGAGAGTGGGACTGGGTCATATTTAAGAAAGCATTAAAAGTTTTCTGTGATAACCTCATGATAGGAATAGGTAGTCAGATCCGGACACTCCTTGTGTGTGAGTAAAGGGCAGGGAACGGCACAAGGAATAATGTGCTGAGCACTGAGAAGTCTATCGCTGAGCAAATCCAGATCAATGACCAAAATTTTTCTCCCCTGCCACCCTGCCATGAGCATAGAGACCAAGTTACATTCCAGTCTGCATGAGATCCTGCACAGATCCTGGCTGTAATAAAACACATGATCCCAACAATATGGGATGCACCTGAGCAGGGCTGTATCCTTAGTTATTCAGGAAGAACTGAACCTGGACTAAGTCCTCTTTTACCAATGCCCGTGACCTTTTCCTTTCCACCCAGAGCACTCTGAGAGGTTCCTTGCACTCCACTGCAAAGACCCATAGGTCCAGGGCAGCAGGGTTTCCTGGGAACTCAGAGCTTTCTGGGGAAATGGACAAGTCCAAGGGAAGCTGAGGGCGGTGTTTGTTCTTGCAGAGGAAACTTCCCCTGGGGATTTCCAGCAGGATTACGACAGCGTGGAGGAGCCTGAATGGAGTGACATCCCTGTGCCTCCAGACGGTAAAGGTGAGGGGCAAATCCATACCACAGAGACAACATGAGTCTGCTGTGAAACTTTATTTTAGAGGAAAAGTGTACGCTTTCCGAGTGTGTTCCTGAGAGGGGCTGAGGTTTCAGTCTGGAGAGATGTGCCCATATCTCATTGAGATCAGCAGGAGCTCGTCGTGCTCAGGTACTTGGGCTCCAAGCCATGTGTAAACAACTCTTTGATGAGAACTGAATCAATAATACAATGCAAGCAAGTGTTCCCGTATCTCTGATGGCTTGCCAGAACTATGTTAGTAATGTGCCTGTGATGACTGTAGGTATTTTAGGGTATTATAGCACTGCGCTGAGCTCATCTCCCTACAGGGGGCGACAGGATAGACCTTGGCTCTGGATCACCTGCTCTGCCAGGAAGTGGATCTTATGTTTTCTCACCTGCCACGACTTTGATGACATATATATTCCTGGGAGGCACTGCCCATGGTGATCCTGCCTCGTCTTGATCCCTGTTACTTCTGTGGGGCTCCAAAACCTCCCCTTTACCCGAGCCTAGGCTCTCCAGATGGTGTTCACAATATTCTTCTGCAGCCAAGTCACAGTGCTGCCTGTTGTGGCCTTATTTTTGGCCCCCTGCCCCAGGGTGCCCTTGGGCCTCTTTTGGGTACACCCTTCCTGGGGCCAGTGTTGGCCTGTGTTCAAGAAACTCAATAGAAACAGCAAAAAAACACGGAAAAGCATCTCAGCCTTCTTGTCAGGTTCTCATAATGACCCTTTTACTCTTGATCAGGTGCTCAACATCCCAATCACCATAATCCAGACAAAAACATCCCATAGTCGAGTCTTTGCTATGTACTAGCCTACCCTCCACCACTATGACCGTTCACGATCTCTTTGGGGTCTCCCCCATGTGCAGGAAGGCTCTACCTGCGGCTGTAGATTTGTTTGTTTTTTTTTTTTTCCCTTGGGTCCTCCTCCGTGTCCTCTGTTGAACACCTCCATTTAAGAGATTCTCTCAGGCCTTGTGGACTCCCTCGCTCCAGATCCTCAGCTGCTGCTGGCCCTCCATGCTGTGAGTTTTGTCTCACTCCTTCACAGTGCCCTGGCCCCAAGGGCCTGATCATACCCCCACCTCACCCTGCCAAACCCTACCCTCAGGTGTGCTCCTGTCTAGGAATGAGTCGGTGAACTTTTTCCAAGTTCATCCTTTGGTACCTGGTTTCGAGCCCTTGCCCCCTCCAGCAGGACTTTGTAAAGATTCTGGACCAGCTTCAATGGTGAAACGTCACACCCAGTGCATGCATGAGGACTCAGCTGGGTCAGGGAAGGGTTGTGATGTGCTTGAGTCCCTCGAGAGCCCTGACACACTCCTTCTACAGTATAGACGAGCCTTACATGATGGGAAATAACTACCTATAGCTGTTTAGCTGTGGGAGGTTTTTCAGTTTTTCTTCTTTCCTAAGCTGATTGGGGCAGGTGAAGAAGCAGAGAAGCACGTGCTGCACTGGGACGGGACAGGGACATGTGTGTGACTGTGCACTGGCATAGGAAAGAGTCAGGTCATCTGGGGAAGTAACTGCACTTGGTGCCACTGTGTCACTGACCTGGATCAATGGCAGTATGAGTTAGCCTGGCCCTGGGGGATTCAAGTGTCCCACAAGCATCTGGGATGGATAATGGGCCAGTACATTCTTGGGAAAGCCCCACTATAAGCTGCTAAAAAAATGATGGAAAACTGAAGAAGCAGCTGATAAATAGAACAAATGAAAGCCACATATGTGTAACCGAGGCATAGGAAGGCTGGAATTACATTCCCCGTGTGCACCTAAATGACAATTTTCCAGCTGTGAAACTGGCCTTTTTGGTGCCTGGGCACTGGGATTCTATACCCACCATTGCCTGTGCAGTATGGACCCATAAGCACATGACAAGGTGTCATGTATGCTCAGTACGTTATACAGGAGTCAGGTGCATGACTATGTGCACACAGCCAGTCTACATGCATAAGTCACAAAATGAAGCCCATTAGTACTGGATTTGGAATTTAGGGAGGAGGAGAACTCCTCCAAATCTTAGCCCCAAGAAGCAAATTATTTAGGCTATCACTTTGGAGAGATCAGATCTGAGTCTGAGCCTCCAGGCCAGGGCCTTTGAACTTGCATCACCCTGAGTTCAAGAAGCATGGCTCTAACCCCTGACCCACAGGTTAGACATAATCCCAATCTGTCTCCAGCCCTCCTTTTGAAGCTGGACCCCTGGACACCAAGCGAGGGACATGTGCAGGACCAGGATGAAAGATTAAAGTGAAAAGAGCCATGGTTAGGTGAGACACAAGCCACTGGAAAAGAGCCAGTCCCAAGTTCTAGCTTGGACCCTAGATCCCAATGGAGCACAAATTACTATACGTCATGTTATCCACTGCAGAGCTGTGCGAAACTTCACCGTTCCACTTTGACTTGCGTTATGACGTTTAGACGGAACTGCGTTTCATTTCGAATTTTGTTTTGACTTGAAACTGCTGTTCCACTTCGTTTCGTCGAAACAATTTTTCTGTTTCCACACTGTTTTGATTTTTCGCCCATAGGCTATAATGGGGAAGCTAAAAACAGCCTATACCTTTGTCATTTCTGGCCTTCTTTGGATGAAACTTGCAGGAATGGTAGCCTCCTCTGAGGGCATGAAGCCTGCAAAGATTAAATGAGATAGGTGCAGGAGCTTCAGGAAAACTGTACCTCAAGATCTTGAATGCAAAATTGAGGCCGTGTGTCTGTGTGTGTGTGTGTGTCACACAGCGGGGTCAAAGCTGCAGGCATACTAGCCCCTGCTGAGGCTACAAAGCCTTCCTGATGGTGGGGTCTGGTGGCTCTGGACCCCGCCATAGAAGCCACGTGGTGGACAAGACTGGCTGGTGGATCCTCCTGTTCCACATTCCACCTCCGCCATTCTTCCTGCCTGCCTTTCTTTGCCAGCACCTCCATCCACTGATTCAGCATTTGGCTGCTGAATATGGTGCCCTTCATCCTGGGGTCACACATGGTGGACAGCACATGGACTATTCTGGACCGCAAGGAATCAAACTTTTCCTGATGCCCTCCTTCAGCTGTGTCACCATTGGCTACATGTCTGGTGACAGTGGCTTGCCCCAGCCAGGAACATTGATCCCTTGCAAGCTCACCATTTGCCTCTGAAGTTCCCTCACTATGGGGATCATCTGTCTAAGGAAGGCATCAGCAGCTCTGAGGCTCTCACTGGCCTCGAGGAAGGGCTCGAGGACCACCAAGAGCAGAGAGATGGTACCCCACTCAGCTCTGTTCAGGGGGCCGCTGATCCCGATGTCCTCAATCAAGGCCATCTCATGGATGACCTTCTGTTGCTCCAGCAGCCTCTCGAGCCTGAGGTATGTGGAGTTCCACCATGTATCCACATCCTGAGTGATTTTGTGCTGTGGGATGTTTAGCTCTTTTTGTTTCTCCCACCGCATCTTCGCCTGCTTGAAGCTCCAGTGGAAGTAGCCCACCACCTTCCTGCATTTTGAAACTAGCTTGTTCATGGTACTGGCACCGTCACTGGCAGTCTGTCCCCCTCCAAGGCATCCCTGACAACAAGTTCAAACTTGTGTGGTACACATTGGCTATCAACAAAGTTGGCATCATGCACCTAATTGACCATATTGTGGGACCTTGACCTTATCTGTGTGGACACAAATAATATGGCTTGGAGCACTCCCAGCTGGGTCATGAAGCACTACAGGGATTTGGGAGTGGAGCTTAAGAGTTTGGGGGTGCAGGTGGTGTTCTCATCGATCCTTTCAGTCTCAGGCTACAGGCTGAGGAGGGAGAGGAGGATGTGGGTAGTGAACCAAAGACTGCGGTGCTGGCGTTATTGGGAAGGCTTTGGCTTCCATGACTACAGTCCACTGTTTGATGATGGAGACAGTGAGCTCCTGGAAAGAGACAGCCTCCACCTCTCTCTTCTGGGGAGGAGGCTGTTCTCAGCCAGACTGCCTGACCTGCTCCATTAGGCTTTAAACTAAGCCCGTGGGGGGAAGGGGGGACTACTGCCACTCCTGGCCCACTGAGCAACCCTTGCAAAGCCAGCAGACTAAGGTACTTAAGGGATACCACCCCTGCCTCAGCACTGGAACAAACTGTAGGAAAGGCAAGGGCCCCCAAAAGGGACACTTGCATGCCTATAAACAAATGCCTTGGAGCTTGGGGAAGAAATAGGAGTAACTTGTCCTCCTGGTTAACAAAATAATTATGATGTCATAGGGTTAACGGAGACATGGTGGGACTGCGCCCATGACTGGGCCATGGGTATAGAAAGCTATACCCTGTACAGGAGAGAGAGAGAGGACAGAAGGGGTGGCGGTGTAGCTCTCTATGTCAAGGAAATCTACATGTCCCTGCAAGCTGACATTGGCGCCCAGGGTGGACTACTTGAGACCCTCTGGGTGAAAATCCGTGGGGAACACAGCACAGGTATGACTATGGTGGGAGTCCACTACAGACCTTTACCCAGGATCAAAACCTTGACTAGGAGTTTGACAGGGAATTGGCTGAGGCCACATGCTCCCGGTGCATGGTTGTCATGGGGGACTTCAACTACCCTGAGATCTCATGGGAAGAGTGCTCGGCCAAATCCAAGCGATCTCAAAACTTTCTCACCTCCATGGACAAACTCTATCTGATGCAGGAAGTCTATGGGCCAATGAGAGGTAAAGCTCTGCTCAAATTGGTACTGGCAACAGGGAAGGACCACATCTGCAACCTAACAATCAAGGGGAAGCTGTGAGACCATGACCATGAGCTGAACACCTTCACCATCTCACATAAAGCTGGTAAGTCAGTCAGTAATACAGCAGTCATTCACGTCAGGAAAGATGACTTGGACAAGCTAAGGAGGCTTGTCAGTGAGGCCCTCAAGGGGCACAACCCAAAGAGGATGGGAGTCCGGGATGACTGGTTGCTCATCAAGGGAACAATCCTGGATGCACAAGCAAAATCTACCCTGTCTCGTAGGAA